GTTGTTGTTGTGAATTCACTTTTGTTACTGTCACGATGCATTGATAACTGATGTGGTCCCAAAAAATGATGATGATGATGACGATGATACAAATTATAATGATGAAGATGATGACGATAATGTTGATGTTGTCGTTGTTGTTGTAGTTGCTGCGATATTTGTTGTTGTTGTTGATGTTGTTGCGATACTTGTTGTTGTTGTTGTTGTTGTTGATGTTGTTGTGATATTTGTTGATGTTGTCGTTGTTGTCGTTGTTGTTGTTGATGTAACACAGTAAACAATTTTTCTTTATTATCATCATCATGATCATCACCATCATCATTAGCTTCATCATCATCATCATCATCATCATCATCATCATTGCTGTTTTTCTTATTATTATTTTTACTATCATCATCATCATTATCTAAATTATCAATATCAACATCATCATCATCACCACAAACATCATTATTATCATCATAATCACCACCACCGTCATCATCATCATCATCATCATTATCATTATCAACATCATAGCCATATGGCGAATTACGATATTTCAAATTTAGGTTTGTCTTAATGACGCTGTTGTTGTTGTTGTTGTTACTGTAGTTGTTGATGTTGTTGTTGCTGTTGCTGATGTTATTTTTGATGTTGTTGTTATTATTGTTGACTTTTTTGTTGTGGATATTGTTGTTGATTTTGTTGATGTTGTAGCTAATATTGTTTTTGTTGTTGTTGTTGATGTTATTATTATTATTATCATTGTTGTTGTTGTTGTTGTTGTTAATGAGGTATTTGTTGATTTTATCATCATCATCATCGTCATCGTCATCATCATCATAACAAGCACTACCTTCACTCTCATAGGTCGATTCGAAGGGCCTATAGAACGGCTTGCCGGGCTTTTTGCATATTAATGAGGGCTCGTTATTATTATTATTATTAATATTATTATTATTATTATTGTTGCTGTTGTTGTTGTTGTCGTCATCATTATCATCATCATGGTGACAGCCATGATGACGATCCTCATCAAAACAATTGCTGCGCGTATCGATCCAGTTTTGGTTAATCTTAAGAGAAGATGAGGATGATGAGAATGATGATGATGATGATGACGATGACGATGATTTGGC